GTTATTTCATTTCTTCTGCACTTATGCCGCGCTTGCCGCCTTACCCCCCGCCCTGTCCCTCCGCCCTGTCGCAGACCTTCAATGACGCTCTCTCCGCCTTTCCCGCCCTTACACGCCTTCGCCCTTACCGCCTTCCCGCCCTTCCCCCGCGCTCCCGCCTTACAGCTCCGCCTGTTATCCCCTCTCCCGCGCCCCAGCACCATAGCTCAGCAACACAGGCTCACAGAGGGACCAGCCAAGACGGCCAAGCAAGCACGCAAGCACGCCGTCTGGCCAGGCGCAATGCAGCGAGGGTTGGCTCCAGCGGCCGCGGGCGAAGCGGCGAGGCGAGGTGAGGGCTCCCCCTTTTAAAAAACTCCACCGCCTCCTCCCTCTCTCCTCTCCGCCCTGATAGCTCGAATTAACGGCCCTCGTCACGTGCCGGGCTCCGCTGGCGGGCCCCGAGACGCTCCCTCCATTTGTCCTGCAGGCGTTCGCCGCTAGCTCTTGGGTTTGCTGCTGCAGGTGCTTGCGTGTATATTACTTCGGTTCCTCTGAGGTCTTTCGGGTGTGCTATGAGTCCCGGGTTTTGGAATGGGGGATGGTGTGCTTCTTTGTTGTTAATTGCTGTTTGTCTGCTGTAAAAAATTCGAAGATTTGTTATTGCGGTGATATTCCCTGTGCGCACTAGGTTTACTTTGCGAACAAATGATATAACAAACTTTTTTCCAAGCAATATAGCACAATAAAAATCATTTTTTTCCCAAGTTCGTATTTTTTGCTTAAATATCTTGCTTAAAATATATAACAATATACGTGAGGTATAATGTAAATTCAAGAATCATAAAAAGTAATACACAAGATCCTTTGGTTTGGAACGATACGTTTAATCATACGTGTACACCGTGTGTGTATGGACCTCTTCTGTAATGCTAATAGTTGTGTATAAAATACACATAGTCAAAGTGATTTTCAATAACCAAGTTAGATCAAATATTGCCTAACTGTAATATTTTTATTTATTCGTTTGCTTTCTTAATTAATCAGTTAATCACTCAGCGCAGCAATCCTTAAAAAAATTCAATGAAATGCAAAACGTATAAACAAACTTCATCCCAAGAATGTTCTCTTCTCTCTTGCTTCTAATGCCTAAAGAATTCCCTTATTGACAGAGAACCCCCATCCCCACCCCACCCCACCGAACCCTTGCCACCTCAAACCTCAATTGTGCAGAGGTTGGTGGCGAAAGTTACAACCGTCGTCATTCCATAGTCAACTGTCTTTGGTAATGAAAAGGTAGGTCTGGTAAAGAAAACGAGCGCTAAAAATGGGAGGGGAAGGGGGAGGTAAAGAGAAGAGAAGAGAGAAGAGAGAGCAGAGAGAGAGAGAGAGAGAGAGGGAGGGAGGAGAGAGAGAGAGAGAGAGAGAGAGAGAGAGAGAGAGA